AAAAATCTTAAAAACTTTCATATGTAGAAACTATAAATGGGAACAACGATATAATGATACATAAAAAGATTAGATTCTTTTTCAAATGCCTCAATTACTTATTGAATATTGTAAATAATGTCATTATGAGTTTATTCTATTTGAAGAAAAAGTTTTTTGAATTATAAATTGATAAAATTTTATCTACAACCAATTATGTTATCAAAAAAATGGAAGAGATTAGCTATATTATCTATTGAAAATTGTTTATTAGTAAAGTATCAATTTAAAAGCCTGATTAATATTTTAGCATCTCAAAAAATAAACAACATTTATTTAATATTATGTATATTAATCAAGTATATATATTAATGGGGCCTTATTTACCATTTCACCTAGGGCCCTGATAACGTTGGGCCGCCTTTGCGTAAACTAGCCAGACACCCATGACCATTAAACTTAATAAAAAAAATCTAAGCCCACTCACTTATTTTTAAATTCAAACACGTTGACGTGGAAGGATCTCTCAAGAAGAGTCATATATAATAGGAAAAAACAGATAAATATTTATGTTTCACTATTCTCTAATAACTTAAAATTTTAAAGTGGATAACAAAAGTTTGTAAAGAATGTGTGAATACTCTAATTACCCTTTTGGAGCTCTTCACCAACAATAACCCTATGCTTGAAAATACTTTGCATATTAAAAATTAAACATTGATCTTATAATATTCATATTTTAAATATAAATTTATTTTTTCATTTTTTAATAATACAATTTAAAATTAAAGTGAGAAAAAAATAAAATAAGAGAGAGGTAAAAGAAAAAGAAAGAGAAACGTAAGTGTGGATTAATAAGATTGTTTAGTATTGAAAAATATGTTGATGGAGTTATCTGACATTGAGAATTGTGCAAAAAAGATAATATTTTTGTGGTAACAAAAATTTTGAAATGAATTTTCTATCAATACATAAAAATCGAATCAATCTTGACCATTAACATTATTTTTATAAATGTGGATGATGAAACGATGGAATTCATGGTTTTCACCATCCCAACACGTAGACATATGTGTGAGGGATTTATGCATTATAAATATTATAGTCCTAGTATGGATGGTGTGTCTTTAATTGGATCGGAGAGTGAATTAGTCGAGATTTACGTAAGTTAATTTAAACACCTTCAACTATTAAACAAAAAAATAAATAAATAAATAGAAACCCACCTCCCACCTTGGGTTCGCTCAAGCATACATAGTGGGTTTGAATATACTATTGTCTTCGGGCCAATAGTATATTCCGGGCTTTACATCTCCAACCAAACAATGGATTTAAAAGTCCATTAGACTATTTTAGCAGATCCCATCTTCTAAATCCCACTCAACCCAACAAATCAAACAGGGCAAGTGCTGTCGAAATCAACACTGGTGTGAATGAGGACTAGACTCCATAAAAGGGCACTTGAGGCATGACCAAAAGTAGAATACTAGGATGCTTCATTCACTTCATGGCTGAGAGTTGTTTACATTATCAATCACCGCACGAAGAGAATAGTAATGAGGTGTTGTTCTGTTGGTCCTTGCTGGGGTATGAGCACTCCTCGTTCATGCACTGAAAAAGAAGCACAATAGCTGCAATGGATAATCACCAAGATTGACTTTCTTCCTCCACTAACACCTATATGCAATACATTTTTGTTCAAAATAGCCTATATAGTTCATGTGTTTTGGGAGGACAGGTCATCTACAGTAGAGCAATAAAGGGCATAGGTAGCCATATATATATATTTTTTATTTATTTATGGAGATGCATAGTTTTTACATTTTAGAAAAACAGCCATAAAGGGTGCTTATTTCTTTTTATAATGAAAAAGAAATCTTCTTCAAGTGTCAATTGATTTATGATGATACCCAAAAAAACATTAGAAATAAGTCAAAGTTATTTAGGACACGGGTTTTGAGAAAAGTCAACCGATAAGGTCTATTCCTTGACCTTATGGTTGTACGTCCATCCTTAGATGAAAAATCAAAATTATTTGCACACATCCTCAATTAAAAGCGTTCAGGTGGCCCAAGAACGACTTTACGTACATGTGCCCAGATCGTCCATGTTAAACTTCAAGGGGAATCATCATCTCTAGCTCAGGACAAGTGTTTGGATTGAGCTCATTTACTCATGAACTAGCTTAAGGAACAGAAGGTCGTCCCAAAGCAAAATGACCTCACAGCAGACTTTTCTAGAAAAATGGAGGACCACAATACATTCAAGCTTGAAGACGGGTCACAAAATCACCTCAGCATGCTCTTAAAAGTTACGTCACACTTAGGGAATGTAGCCTCTAACAGTTCATTATTCCCTCAACAAAATCCTAATAATTTTGGGGACCATGTGATGATGGCATAGGGACCACCCCACCTGTGAGTATAAATTCAAAGGTTTTTTTCCATGTAAAGGCATATAAAAGATCAAACAAATTTATAACCTTATTTCGTTCTCCAAGCAACTTACAGTTTTTTCAAGGAACAAAATATTTCATTAGAGTTGATTAGCCAAGTTTTTTAACTGGTGAACCACTATAATCTATGTATTCTTACTCTTCTTAACTCGTACTATTTTTTTGGTCAAGTTTTTAGCTCGTACTATAGTCACTAATTTTATTGTGACATTGGGTAAAGCTAATAGGCTCCATCTCAAATCATCTTCTCCTCTACTAAATCACTTGCATATCATTGTTCACAAACCTTGAACTCTTCAATTTAAGTATCCCCTCACGTTTCGAGTTCATATATCATTAAATTATATCCTTCTCGTTCGTGTCAAATATTAATTAATCATATATTGTTAGACACCCTATGAATTAAAAATTCATTATGCCAACAAAAACAAGTGAAAAAAAAAACTAATGACGCTGAAGTGTTGAAATTAGGTTTTTCATAGTAGACACTAATTCAACTAATTTATTAATGTTATTTATACTTTTATATTGAGAAATAGGACACCCCAGCAGTGAACTAGTGAATGTTTAAAATATTTAGTATGTTTAAAATACAAGTCTAGATAAAATACAAATTGTATGGTTACTTGTTACACACCAGGATTCTCCCTCCGGTCAACGGAATCCGGCCATTTTGGCAAATATAGTGGCATTTGTCTTCTGTTGGGAAAGCACCGGTGACGCCTAAGTACCGCCAGGAGATTTCCCGATGCTAGGGGTTTTTATTTCCAACGCCGGAGAATCGCTAGAAATGGCTTTTTGCGGCCTTTGTTTGACAGTTGTCGCCGTTTTTTAAACGCCGGCTTTTCTCTAATTTCTTGTAATGACTTTATGTAAGGATTAACTATTCATAACTCATAAAATTTGTGTGGAATACATATAGTTACAACATGAATAAAAAATTAACAATGTTATTTTTATTTAATTTAAAAACTTAATTAATCAAAAGACGTAATTCAATAGAGTCACTAAATTAATTGTGAGTTAGGTTTGTCAATCGGATCGAGTCTTAGCTAATTCGTGCCAAAAAATAATTCATTTATATCCTATGGGTGTCAATTTTATCCGTTAACACGAACCCGACCCAACACAAAACTCAAATAACACAATTAGTTGACATGAGTAATAAATAGGTCAAATTAAGGTTCGACATGAATAACACGATTAATGGGTACTATAGATAGAAAATAATTATTTAACGAGTATTGTAGACAAAAAAATTATAATTTTTTAAATAGTATTATATGAGTTGTTGTCGAATTAAATAATTTTTTATTAACACGAATATTGACACGTACGAAAAGTGACACGACACGATTGACACTTCTATTATACCCTATTCGTCTATTATCTGTATCTAATGAGTCATGTCATATCAAATTCGTAACGTGTATGAATTGTGCATAACTGGTATATAAACGAGTCGTATAATGTATTTATTTTGATTGATTTCGCTCATACCCGATTCATTTATTAATCGTGCATGTCGAGTCCACTCGTTTACAAAATAGGTGATTTAAAGATGACTTCAAACTCTCTAATTTTGTGAGTCATGTTATATTTTGTCACTTCTAATTGTGAATTTTAATATTAAATAAAACTTACTTTCAATTTAATAGTTATAATTAAAAAAATCTCTAAATTAAATCTCAAATTAAGTTCAAATAATATTTCTTTCATACAAAATTTACATAAAAAAAACAGCCTTAGGCAAGGATGTGAAAAGAAATGAAAGAAGAAAGGCGGTGGGAGGTGAATCAGTGTTGGTGTATTAGATCTGGATCCAACAGCTGGACAGAGGGCAATACTTAACCGAACAGGAGAACTCTGGATAAAACTACGATGCCAAAAGGACTCGTAAATCTTAGTTTTATTTGATGCCTTTATAATTAATAATTATAAAAATATACTATATAATAAATTAAAGGATTAATAACACTTTTGTCAGTTTAGTTTTTATTTAATCAATTTTGTCAATTTGATTCTCCAAGGTATATAATCTGTGTCACTTTAATCCTTATTCAGACCGTCAAATTTTTTAACAAATGTTATCATGTGTCATTTTTTTAAACTATATCACATCCAATACGTGATCATTCAACTCAAAAACTTAGCGATTCTTTTATATAAAAATCAAAATAAAGCAAATTGAATATTTTAAAGATTAAATTGATAAAATTAATAGACTGTAGATTAAACGGATACAAAATATATTTTTTTAGAACAAAAATTGTTGGATAATATAATTTTATTCGTGTGATATTTTTAGTCAATAAAAAAAGAAATATATGGGTAAGCATTCAGAATCTTACAAAATCAGACTCCTTCTCGAACTCGAATACATTAGGGGGTCTGGCCTTCATAGTTCAAATCAAGACCTTTGCCGTCATAACCTTCTCCTTTCCTAAACCTATTTCTAAATCCTTAAAAATTGAGGTCTCCATCAAGTATTAACTTCTTGTACCGCCTACTGTTTTTCATAACCCCTACCACCAAGATTCTCTGGTTCTCTCTCTTCAAGTTCAAGATGTCTTACACTACCCCAATTGATGACTACTGTGATGCATGGCAGGCGGACTATACCATCATCCCCAACACCCAACCCAACACATCACGAAAACAGTTTTACACCAAAGTTCAGGTTGAATTTACCTATCCAGTACTTGCCCATGAAGAAGATGAAGAATACGAAGAAGATTCTCTGCTACTCAACAATGGCGTAGAGGGTATCAATCACGTTATGGAGTTTTGGATACCAGAGAACGAACTTGTCTCTAACTCTTCTCAGTCCACCATATCCTCCATGCTTTCTCAGGTGGGAGTCCCATTAGAGAGACAACCATTCATGATTCATCGTATCTCTGATTGTGCTCAAAAGATGGCTTCTGCGGTACATAACTTGGGTCGCAAGGTACTGCCTATGATGGTTGATATTAGTGTGGTGGTAGATAATGGGCAGTATGAGGAAGATGATGCAGAAATTAGGGTTTTAAGGCAATCCATGGAAGGTGTAGAATGAATGCGAGTGCCTCTAGGGTTTAGAAGGGTTTTTGAGGTTGATGTTCTAGGGTTTAGAAGGGTTTTTGAGGTTGATGTGAATATGTAAACCATGGGGATTCAATTGTTATTTGGATTAGGGTCGATCTAATTTTGTCTACTTTAGGTTAGTCGATGGATGTTCTATATGGTATGTTCTTATAGTTTATATACAAAATATTCAAGGTTTATTCCCATTGAAATTGAGATTATTTGTTTTTGTCTTCCTTCATATTGAAAGGTGCATAGTCATATTGCATGATTTTTTATATAATTTTTTTGCGTGATAATCAAGATTGATTGATGTTATATTTAACGATTTATATCAACTGTACCCGATAAAATATTTGTCCCATTTATTTAAGATTCATTATGTGAATTATGTTTCGCTAGAGTCAAGAATTATTGTAAACCTTAAATGATCATCAATGGTAAGTGAAAAGATCAATTGATATGCTTGAGGATGTATATATAATCGGCATATGTTGTGGACTAGGGTTTATCAATTAATAGTGTCGAAGGAGATAAGATATACACAACGGCCTCAGCAAACTGATTTTTTGTGAAAAAGTGGTCAACTAGGGCTCGGCTCAAAAGTCAAAAAGTACTTATCAATTAAGGTTTGCCAGCCAAACACCACTTAAGTTTCCTTGGTAGCTGGCTAAGTGCCCCAGTATAATTAACAAGCATAACCAATTTTGATTGAAGTAGGAAACAACGGTAATTGTGTCGTGTGTCGTGTCAAAATCTATTCAGCCTATTAAAATAGTATATGGTTAACTTATTAATTCGATAACTTCGTATAAATGCTATATCGAGCACTAAATACGTATCTGATAATTTCTTGTCAATTAGATATTAAGTTTTTAAATCATGTTAAGAATTGTCAACCATACATCTTCTATTGTTTTTTTTTTTTTTTATGAAACGCACAAAGAAAATTACATGTAAATTGCCCGACATAGAATCAACGGTTTCTTCTATTAGATTACGAATAATAAAACGAAAGGAAAGATAAATCAGATTGTTCAATAACCTCCAAAAAAAAAAAACAGGTTGTTCCCTAACTGCATGGAACTACCATAAAACAGTACGAAAAGCTCAATAGCATAATAGAGCAATGCCCTAATCTAATGAGCTGTGAACCTATAGACCATAACGTTCTCATAAATCTCCCCTGGATTAACAATCTGTGACGGAAAATTCGGGTGATTTACAGAGTCTGGAAAACCTTGTGTCTCCAAGCACAATGCACCATATTTTGAGTAAACATACCCTCCTTTTCCCTCAACATTATCCAACATGTTGCTTGTATAGAATTGCACACCAATCTGATTAGTCCACAGCTCCATTTTCCGCCCCGATTTGCTCTCGTGCACCACGGCCACCTTCTTGAAATGCACGCTGCTCGTGCTGTCGAGGACATAGTTAATATCATACCCATCTGGAAGATCATTCAATTTGCTTCCAATCGAACGGGGTTGGAGGAAATCGTAGGGTGTCCCATGAATGGGAAAGATTTCTCCGGTGGGGATGAGTTCATCGTTGACTGGCGTGATGTGGGATCCGAATATTTGAATGTTGTGGGAGAGGATATCACCACTGTTGTGGCCAGCAAGGTTCCAGTAAGTGTGTGAAGCTAGGTTCACTGGTGTGGCCTTGGTTAGAGGCTTGGCTACCATTTTTATGGCCAATTTGTTTGTTCCTATGAACATGTATGTGACCGTGACAGAAAGGTCACCAGGAAACCCTGTAGCATTTTATGAGCATTCCAGTGTTAAGAGATCTATTAAAATCGTACTTTCCTCAAAAAAAAAAAGATATATTAAAAGCATGGCTCCACTTAATAATCAAGTAAGCATGTCATAACAATGCCCTTCGTGCCTAAAAGATTAGTTCAAAGGCATTGTGCCAGCAGCCATGGTAAGACGGGGGCAAGTAGTCTTTAAAATGATTGTGTGTAAAGGACACGTAAATGGTGAATCAGGTTGAAAGTGAAAGTCACCAAAAACTGGCAAAATGCTCTCAAAACTAATTTACTCAAGTGAAATAGAGAAGAGTGAAATTTCGTGTTTCAGTTTACCAAATACCAAGATTCATTCAAAGTAAAAAGAAAATGAAGTTTTCTTTCCTAAGTTGTATGGACCTTAAGAAAAAATGCTTCAAACCAAGGGAATGATTGTTTTCACATGCGACAGTTAGGACTTAAACACAATTTAAACAATTTAGAATCAGTACAAAGTTTTTCAAGAATTGACCCAAAGCTTGGACCTAAGTGACCAGTAAGTTTGACCTTATTAAATTGCAACTTGTTCTCATTCGATCATTCTTTTAATACAATACCAAAAAGTCTATTGATTATTCAATAATATATTAATGAAAACAAAATCATGTAATATTACCTTGTTCACCATCAAAGCTGTTGTAGGTGAAGGTTATATGACTATCCTTTTTATAGCTCTTCACGGTCCATATAACATCACTGAATCCTTTGGTACCACCTGATATATATAATTGTTATATTGATCTAATTAAGCAAAAAAACAAATATAACGAAGAATTTTACATATCACAAAAATTAATGTTGTTATATATAACATACCATGGAGGGTGTTCTTCCCATTATTAGCTGGTAGCATATATATAATACCATTTAGAGTAAAATGAGCCCCTCCAATTCTGTTAGCAACTCGTCCAATTAGGCCTCCAAAGTAGGTTGAATCATTCTACAACAAAATATTAAAATAATAAGTGATAATATTTAGTTGGGCCTTAAGCAATTTAGTAATAATTTATTGGCAACATGGAAGAAAAAAGAAAAAGCAAAAAAATCATCAATCAACCTACCTAAATTTCCTTGTCCTATGTTTATTTTGAACCATTATCTAGTCTAAAAACTAACGTTATTTGATGTTGAACATGGGTTTTTCGGTCCAAAAGATACACCTAGTAGGTGAAGTTATTCGCTTTCTTATAAAGATCAAGACTCTCTCATCACCAAGCAATGTAAGACTCATTCGATACCTCAATAATCCCCTTCTCGAACATGACTTACAATAAATGATCATTACTATTCTCACATCCGACACAAGAAGTTGAATCTACACAATGGCTTGAACCATGGCTTTAATATCACTTGTTGGGCATGGGTTTCCAGTCTAAAAGACTACCTAGTAGATGGAATGACCCGCTTTCTTATATGACCTAGAACCCCTCATCACCAACTAATCTAAGACTCGTTCGACACTTCAACATTAGAGAAGGTGAAACATCATAGTATAATAATTCCTCATTCTACTAATGCTTGGGTTAGATTTTGGATTAAGCGTATATTTGCCATTCCTACTTCTTTGATAATATGTTATCTCGTCTAAAAGTTTAACCTTATAAATCAGCTTGTGATTTAAAATTAGGTGTCCCGATTCCTTATTAAAACTTTATCTTGTTATAAGTATTGTATATTGAGATAATTGATTTTGATAGATAAAAAGTATGGTTACCGGTCTTTATTTCAGATATACACTAGAGATATAGTTTATTCATGGAAGACGAGGGATGGGATTTGATTTACGACTAATGAAACTCAAAATCAGAACATGTGTGACACGATGGATAACTCAATAACCACTCGTTCTTTAACATAAGTTCATAATTCGGTTGCTATTTTGTGTCATGAGAGAGAGAAGAAAACAATTATAAAACTGACCTTGTACCCCTCAATTGACTCATACCCAAGAACAACATCATCTAATTTTCCTGGAAATAAGACCAAAAAAAAAACAGTGAAGAACAAATTAATATGTAGAAAGTAAAGAATTCTGTAACAACAAATCACATAGAAACAGAAGTATACATGTGTGACAATGCCATACCATTCCTATCTGGGAGTATGACAGAGAGAACAGTAGCACCATAGTTGGTAATTTTGACAGAGAAATCCCCCTTCTTCAGCTCATACACCCCTATTTCTTCATCGGCATCGGCTTTGGATACGTTCACAAACAACAGAGCAATCAAAAGAAAATAACACAGTAGAGGTACTTTGCCCATTGTCAATCCGAATGAAATTATTTTTACAATGAGTGTTATAAATGATCACCGCTAGCTATATGTAGAAAGATGAAGATCAGATTAGAGAGAATACTTAAAGATAAGGATATGCATTGAGAGAGATTTGAATTTTGTACAAAGACTGTCTCTTTAACATTTGAAATTTATAAATAGACTAGCTCTTCCCCTACTTTAACGATTTTGTAATCAAGCCAAATGTTGAAAGGATAATTTTATGTGCACTAAATTTGTATATCAAAATTTACACCAAATCAACTGCAATTATTGGATCACTGATGAGACTCACTGATCTAACGACTACAAGTGTTTTGGTGTAAGTTTTAGTGCATATTTTTTGTACACATAGCATTACTCATGTTGAAAAGATAGAATCACAATATTTGCGCGGTAGATAAGACCAACATATTTTTTTTTTAGTAGTGTTATTTAAACTCAATTTACTAGTCCATATATAATGTCATTAAAGTATGGGCTTTAGGCCCCAACTAAAAAAGAAACTTCAAATTTATAGATCGATAATATAGTTTATACAAAAAATTTAAACTCATAAAAATTAAGTCCAATAAAAATCTCAATTAAAATTGTGAAAATAAGAAATAAGTATAGTTTTGTTATTTTCTTTTGTCAATAAGTACAAGAATGTATTTTTTATGGCTTTAGTGTGTGTGTATATATAAAAATACCTTGAATGAAAAAATTTTGATTCACTGTTTTACCCTTATAAAAAATTTAAATACTATACTATCTTTCCATTGTTAAATATCTAAATTACAATCATATTCTTATGTATTTAAATCTCCAAATTACTCCATAATATATCTTTTAATTCTCTTTTTTCTATGTATAAATATAAAAAAACTATGAAATTTTTTAATTGAATACATTATTCTTAAAAAATATATGCCAATTTTCAATTAAGATATCCCTTGGGATGCATGTAAAGGTTTTATTTAGATTAGACTTTTATTATTATTGATTACTGGTATTGAATATTGATATTATTTCCTCCTCAAATTTTCTCTCTTTTCTCATCCTCTTCTTCTTCCCTTCTCATTCTAATTTTTTCTCTTCTTAGTCTATTTCAATTTGGTATCAGAGTCCAATTTTGATTCGTACAAATCATTAAAATCATATCAACACTATTCATCGCGAGCACTGTTCATCGCCACCAACATTTCACTATCCAAATTTTAAAAAAAAAAAAAAAATTTGAAGCAATATTGTCGCGAAAGGTAGGATTTTATTTGGGAACAACAGCTTCAACGAGACGTGGAGAAAAAGACATACCGCCAAAAATTTTAAAAATACAGAAACATCCTCCAAAAATTGCATAAATATCACCCCATAAATTTCAAAAACTGCAGACAAATCCCAAAGGTTTTCAAAAATTCCATAACTGCCCAAGATGTTTCAAATATTATAGAATCCTCCCCCAAAAGGTTCCAAAATTACAGAATCATCCCCAAAAAGCTTAAAATTTTCTCTTGATTATGGTATGCATTTTCATAGAATTTAAGACTAATATTTTTATTCATTGAAAATTAGAGAATTTACAAAAGGTCCAAAACACATTTTCTTATATTTAAACTTTCTTACTTCTTGAAATTGTCAATTGCATTCTTGAACTTGTTCTTATACCATTCTCATCTTTCAAGAATCACTCCTGAGTTCTTCTAATGCACATGTTTCAAGAGTCTCTCATCGAGACCATCGTCATAGGAAGTTTAGGGATGTTTACATGGAGTATACCCATATACCAAACTAGTCAAAGATCCTTATATATTTAGTGGCACTTTAGATCCTTTTGAATTCTTGAATTGTTTAACTAATTTAAAAGAATATTTTGATTGGCATGGCATGTCGGATTCTCATTGCGTCCATTTTACTAAATTGATGTTGAAGGGTTCCGCCGAACGATATTGGCAAGCAATCCAAAGAAGCCTAGACAGCTTAAGAGAATCACTTATCACTGGAGTTAAAATGAGATATAAATTAAAAGATAAGTATTTGCCTACTTCCTACATGAATCAATTTTATGACCAATGATTCAATCTTAGACAACATTCTTCTAATGTCTCTGATTACTTTGTCCAGTTCAATTATCTCACATACTTGTGTGATATTGTAGAAGAACCTTGGACAATTGATCAGTTTATTCATGGGTTGAAACAAAAAACTAATAGGGAGGTCAAGTTATACACTTTTAATTCGTTAATTGCAGCCTATCTATATGCTCTAAAGGTTGAGAGATTTCATAAGAAATCCAACTATAATTTGATGGGTTCTCAATCACAATCTGTTAAACAGCGTGACATGACACCTTTCATTTTTAACTCTACCACATATGAATATCATGATTACTTGAATGATGTTTATGTTGTTTATGTATGTTTTCCTAATTCCAGGGAGACCATGAATTTGGATGACACGCTCTCACATATAAAAAAAGATGATACTTATATCGACTACCAATCCCCTTGTTTGGTCTCAATAGATCAGATTTTGCCTCCTTCGTACCAACAAAACTCAATTCCTAAAGAAAATGAGTTTGAGCATTTGTTGGAGTCAAATGTTGATTCACCATTTGTAATGGAACTTGCTGAAAAGTCTGTCAGTCCACACTTATGAAAGATGTTGAGCATATTGAGTTACCTATTTCAGAATCTTTTGGTGATTGTTTTGTGTCTCCTATTTCAAGTCAATCTAACTTTGTTCCCAAGTCTTTCCCCTTTGAAATTGTTGACTTTATTCCTATTATCAAAATTTCACTTGAGTTGGTACTTAATTATTTTCACCACCAAGGCGTTATTGTTACTCATTTGTCATCGATGTCTTGTCCCATTGAATAGTTGTATTTGTCATCGATGTAGCCTAAGAAATGAAAGAATTAATGATGAGAAGAGGAGAAGAGAGAATTTGAGAAGGAAACAATATCAGTAGTCAATAATAATCAATGTTTAATCTAAATAAAACATTTACATGTATCCCTTTATATAAGAAAACTAACCCTAAAACAAATAAATAATGACAAATAAATTTTCAAAAGTTAAAAGAAATTTCTTAAAAGATAAATATTAAAAATATGTAAATAACTCTTATAACTAATCTATAATATCTATCAAATTCCTACACGATCCCCATCAACCAAACCATGATTCTAAGTAAATTAATTGAGAAAAAATAAATATTCGGATGCTGGGTATACAAGAAAATTTCATATTATAATACAAGATACATATTTTATTTATTATATAAAGAATACAAGTGCACAACATCTAAAACAGCTATGAATCCATGATTGTACAAAACTATCAAAAATGTCGATCCTTACAAAATAATATTACTAAGGGATTAGAACAACAACAAAAAACCTAGGATTGGTGACAATCATGAGAGAACGTTGAATGCCTGTGCACTACGTGCGACCTTGATAAAGACATCCTCCAAAGTTGTGTCCGCCAAACCCCACGCTTGAACAGTAAACTTGCTCTTTGCCTTCTCAACAGCTTGGAAAACCTCTGCAATTCTGACCTCATTTTTTGGCAGCTCAAACTTCTGCGTCCCGGATATTTGGTATATTCTGTTAGCATTTGGGGAGAGACGTCGTACCAAGTTCTCCACCTGCTCCTCATGATTTGCCGACGTTGTCATTGTAAATACATATGAGCCTCCATATCTACCCTTAAGCTGCATTCAATATAAAGAACCATTTGTCACACATTCAATAAAGAAATTCATCGTCAAGTCTGTTAAGAATATAAATGCAGGTTGTTTGTCAACTACCGATCTAATGAGGGCAATTCAGGCTATACCGACTCAAAAGAAAATTACAGTGAAACTTGGTTTAAGTAGATTAAATTTTGGTAATAGATAGGCTGGTGGTATGTCAGCAACTCATCACAGTGGCTACTATCAAGACAGTTATGAGGAAAAATATATATCATCAAAAAAATAGTGGCTGAAATTCGGGAAATTTTTTCTTTTATTGATAAGTCAAAATTTGGGAATGAGTAATGAAAATATCATGGGAAGGTTGGGATGTTAGTGCTGAAAATAGAAATTAGTGGGCACTGCATTACGGAGGACGTATGTGCATTATATTTATATAAAAAAATTGAAGTGCAGAATGCTGCTTGCTGCCATCAAAGGGTGCATGGTTGAATGCAGATACAAAATCGAATACATTGGAACTCTGGAACAATTATCAGTGAACTTTAAGGTAATATGCACTTGTAAGAAATTCACATATTTAGAAGAATTTTTTCAACTTTTTTGAAATACAGGAATGGTCATAGTATTGAGCCCCTGGCACTTTAAGCAGCAGCTAGCATGTTGGTGCTTCCTATATAGCAAAACGAGCATGCAAGTTGGGCTCCATTCATATGATTAGGGGTTCAAATGGAACTAATTAGGGGTTCAAATGGAACTAAGTCTCATCCACTTCTCCACATAGAAAATTTCATCCAGAGAAGGGCGTTTTATGAGAAATATGATTGAGCTTTGTTTCTGTTGTCCATCTCAATAAGAAAGATGCACCAACATTATATCCCATGTATTGAAGGATACGTGTCAACTAAAACGGCATGCCTAGAGCATAAATCTGGAAAAAGAAAATTCTCAAAATACCTCTTTTGGATTTCCTATACATTGCAAGCTTCCATCCACGAAAATTCCTAATCGATCACATAGATGCTCTGCCTCTTCCATTGAATGTGCTGAAACCATTTTGGTATGCTACATAAGTGAAATGACGAGGAAAATAATCCCTATGATCTCTTATCTAACAACTTAAGTTGCAAAACTATACCTATGGCTGAAAATATGTACAATTACAAGACAGAGACAAAAAACTTTAAGGTGATGAAGGTCACCAGTAGTAAAGGTGTTTGTGTATGTAAATATATCTAGAAAGAGAGATTACTGGTGAGAATAATTGCTCTGTTTTGCTTTGCACGCTTCACGACATTCCATAAACTATTTCTTGAAGCTGGATCCAATCCAGTGCTGGGCTCATCCATATAGACAACCTTGCATAATTTTCAAAAATACCAATTGCAACTATGTCAAGAGTATATATACAAGCATATGAATACGTACGCATATATGTAGGTATTCAAGAATGTTTAGAAGCAGGGTGAGTGTATGAAGATATAGACATACTTTGGGATCCCCAATTAATGAGATAGCGACACTAAGCCTCCTTTTCATTCCTCCACTGTATTTCCCAGCTTGTTTGTCGGCAACACCACCATAAAATAGATTGACACCCTTCAGAGATTCTTCCACTGCCTGCAGCAAGAGATAGAGGGAACAATAATTAAAAACATTTCTTGTTCGAGATGACCAACAAACAAAAGCATTGCTCACTTTGCTAAGGAAGGATGGGAACCAGCAAATATACATATCTCAACATGGACGTCCTTTATGTTCCTTGTTCTCTCAGTTCTACCTCATACTCAGCAACTTAAGGTCACCAAGTCTTCATAAGTTTATATTATTAGAAAAAATAATATGAATGAACAAGGGTTTTGGAGTCAAAAGTTTGAATCGTAAAAACAGTCTCTTCTCATGTGGGGGTAAGGCTGCATGCATTAGGACTTCCTCAGACCTTGCAGTGGCAGGAATCAGGAGCCTCGTGCAGGACTGCCTTTTTAATGTTACTAAAAAAATCTGAGTTTTATAACAGCAAATTTTAGCTCCTATCTTTGTACATCAACATTTTATACTCATCTATTCCAAAATTGAAAAGTTTCGGTGACATACAGAGAGGAAGGGTGTCTCTCTCCAACTACAAAATCCTCCAACAAGCACCAATGGCTCCCAAATGAAGATAAAATATAAAAAGATGATTTCAGAAGTGAACGGAATGCAGCCTTACTTGGATTAAGGCAGCACCTTTAAGGTTTTTAAGCCTTCCATAAAAAAGTAAGTGTTCTCTTCCAGTTAGCGTTTCCCACAGCAAGCTGTATGATTGTTTAATAAAAGAAAACAAAACATGAGAAAATAAAGAAGACTTCTATTATTGGAGGAAATAGAGAAATGGACATGGAAGAATATTCACTCTTACTCATGCTGAGGACATACACCCATGTTGGCATAGATTCCATCCATATGCTTTTTTATATCTAGACCCTGAACATATGCCGTGCCAGAACTTGGTTTTATGAGCCCAATCATCTGTCAACAAAGAAAATGTTACCTTTTTTTGCAGAGATAATACGACCTTTTATATTTCTACAATTGGAAGGGAAGAAACCAGTACTCCAAAGAATATCGTGTTTAGAAAGACTTCCTGCAGTGAGCCTAATGATATGCAAATCATGTGCAGCATAAAACAAGAACCAGAAAGTTGACCAATCAAGAAACTGCTTCATTGAGTAGCAACATTTGCAACTTATTCGCAAGATGGAAAAACAGACAAGAATAGAGATCCAAGACACATTTTTAACTGACCATATTAATGAAAGAGGTTTTGCCTGCACCATTTGGACCAAGCATACCAAAGCATTCTCCTTGAGACAAAGCAAGTGACAACCCTCTAACTGCAAATTTCTCTGGGTTCCCGTCCCTCCCAGGATATACCTTTTTGAGGTCATCACAGAGAATGGCTTCACTTGCGCTTGGTTCAAGTAGCAACTGTTCAACCTTCTCTCTCTGAAAAAAAAAAACAGAAGGGTATAAAATTTACACAAATACTAAATACAAATATATAATCATAATGAATGAGGAAAAAGTCAATTTAACATGGAAGATGAGCAAACCAGATGCAAATAGTAGATATAGATTTATAATTGCCATCAGTCCAAATTGACACATCAATAACACTAAAGGAAAATCCTACTCAAGTTTCCGTTAAAATTGTGTTGTACGATAAACAAATAAGCAACCATTCTTTCACATAGTTTTGGCAAGCACACCTAGACAGACTTCGATCAAATAAGTCAGATGTCCATTGATATTACTTTGACAAAGTGTAATAGTAGCTTGAGGGTTTAATATTCTGACACAAAGAACCCCCAAGTAGTGACAAACACTCCACCAGTGCACCAGGTAACCAGCTTTTTGATGTTCAATTAGCAGTTACCATTCCCATTCAAAGACCATTTTCTCAACTAAAGCTAGGAACATAAATCATAAGCAAGATATCCTTACCTCTTGGGCAACATCAGGTTTCTCCATCTGTACAAACACTTTTGATTCCTGCCTCCGCAAACTAGGTCTCCGGAAAGACGATGAAGGTTTTCTTCTGAAGTTTTCCAAGAAAAATAGATATCCTTTTCCTGATGATACAACTTGGTCTACATAATATGCAACAATAACAACCAGCAACCATTCCACAAACATGATGATTAAGATCTCTCTCATCCCATTAGTGCTATCACTTAGGTTTTTCCATCGCATTCCATCAGTTCCAATAGCGTTTCCCGTGAAAGAATAATCTCCCAACTCATATAATCCACGATAAAGAGAAAATCCAGGGTATAACTCCATAACAATAATCCAAGCCTCTACAGAATCAAGAGGTAAGTCTCAATGATGATAGAGTACAAAAAATTAGAAATGCTAAGACAAACACAAGGCGAAGGATAAGATCATGAGTCCTAAATACAAATTGGCATATGGTAATGTCAGCAAAACAAAGTACTTACACAATTATGACCCATAGCTTGAGTCAGATTAAACCAAAAAGCTTAACCTGAGCAGATGATGGTTACAATCTAGTCCCTCAAATCCATTTGGACAATCACATCACAATTGTGGCAATGAAAGTCATACAACACAAAAATTTATATGGTGTAAAGCATCTACCAAGCCACTGTTGGTTGGATATCCCTAAAGAGTAATAAAATGTACTCATGCAGACATCTCTCTGCCATAACCTCATTTAAATTTTAATGCCAGTAAGAAATGATAGCATTTGCAAATAATCTTATCAGAACTAGTAATAACAACATCGTCATAAAATTAACTTCTTGAAGAGGTAGCCAATTGCAACACGAAATTAAAGACAATAATTCTGCTTCAGGGAGGGTCAAGGCAGACTACATATGCTAGACTCAGTCAACAAGAACTAATTCTGTAAGACATTCTTGAACTTACTTGGGAAGGATGTATCTTGAAGAAAGAACTGGAAAAGAAAGCCTCCCAAGAGCCCAGTTCCAAAGACCAATATGTACCCCAACACTGTGATAGCATTCCGAAAATGAGGGCATGACCCATTATTTACACAATAATCCATCAGAGAAAAATAAAATATTTACTCAGTACTGTAATAGCATCAATTAGCTGAGATCAAACCTGTAGCAGTCTTCACATTGGAGAAAAATGCAGCAGCCAGAAAGGCCACTGCGATTTGTAAGTTTATGTAGATGAAATAAAACACAAACTGGATGCTGTAATCATTCAACGTGAAAAATTTTATCCCTGCAAGTAATTGAACTGCATTAAAGTAACTTGAATGGAAGTAAAACGAAAGGAAGCAACATATTGGCTGAATTATTACCTACAATTGAGCCAAATAACACAAAACCAAACATGTATATTGAGGATACGACAAGAAAATAAGCATAAGAAATCATCCAATAAGGGCCATCGCCAAGCCCATGCATTTTCATCATAATTCTCAGATTCTGTTGCTTCTCATAAACCAGAGATGCCAACACAACCTGTACCAAATAGAATAAGGATCATGATACAGACTTAAAAGAAGTATATAATAAAACTTATTTTCGATAAAATGAACTATCGTATCTTTTTGCAGTTATTTCCTTGCCTGTAGGGCGCTTACCAGCTTTTGATCTTGGAGAAATAAGAAACTAAGGCAAACAAATCATAACACAGCCATCTTCTTAAAAGGGGTAATCATAATTACACAAATTATTCAGGACCTGATACCATTATCATCAATCTAAAAAACATCTATCTGGACTCTGCTACTGAGAATAGACAGGTCAACATGACTCTAAAGGCCTCTAGCTGGAAACAGAAAACAAATCTAGGTCATTAGATGTTATGTTTGAGATTAGTTGTGAAAGAAGCAGTAGCCAATAATATTGTTCAATAGTAAATACCTCCATGAAAAAAAAATGTGGATGATAATTATGGATAATTGTGTTTTGATTTGAGGATGATAAATATAGATCATTGTGTTTTGACTTGAGGATGATAAATATGGATCAATTAACCACTTTCATGCCATTATCATATATGCTGAATGCTGAACAATGTCACTAAATGCAATGTTTTTCCTTTTTTTATGTATAGGTCTTTATCACTTTTTCTTCTCTTTTCTTTTTTGGGACACGCATATAAAGATCGATTATATTCCTAGTGCAGCTTTTCCTAATATCTACTACTGTAATTAGCATGGATTTCATATCATGAGTTCTTAGTGGTTTCCAAAATTCGAGCACCCATTACTAAATTCGGTCACTGATATAATTAGGAAAGGTAGTTAATGAGTAGCAGAGTTCTGTTGCTACGAGGAGAAAAGACAAACAGGCATATTGAGAGCAACTAAGGACAGTTACTGTAATAAGCTTCCTAACAAATTGCATAGCTCCAATACTTTAACTCAAACAAATTTCAGCCTGAGTGAATTAAGTTCACTTACAGGAAATAGTTGTATTATGACCCATGTAAAAAAGAGTGGTCCAAGAAGAGAAGAAAAATCCAGCTTGACTTGTGTTGCTGGCTTGGGCATTTCCTTGACAAATTCAAAAAGCATTTTTGTAGCAGGCCCAAGCAAAAACTGGAGGTAGGCATTTGACACCTGTATATGTATGCATGGTAGAAGTCAGCATTTCTCATTCATAAATCCAAAAGTTTGCTATTTGGCAGAGTCAAGTACATTTGAATAAAAGTCAGCCATCGATAACGCCAATAAGGAAAACAATTTTGTTTGGCTGAAATCAATGTGAATGACCAGGTGCCCATACAAATATCTTCTACGACTGAAAACTCTTTCTTTTTTTTTTTTTAAAGAAAGAAGAATTTTATTGAAAAATATTTTAAATAAAAGGCAATAAATAAATAAAATGGAAAACATGCATCGAGGCAAATAACAACAGCACATTTTATCACAAGCCATCGATGGCATATTTTTGATGATATTCACCAATTCATGATGCTCTATGCCTTGATTTACCAACAATATTGTCCTAGGGGCACCCAGACAACCTTTGCATACTGGTCTGAGTGAATTTGGAGAAAACAAAATTCCATCTTACAAGATAAAAACTGTGTTAATGGACATGGGATATTACAAGGTACAAATACAGAACCGATCACTCTAAAGCACCAGAAATCTGTATCTATAATCTTTTTTGTTTCTTCTAAAACTATATATTTTACTTGAGAAGTTGGTAATGCAGGACATTGAGAGTGCAACGAGTAGGAAACAACCACTGTTTAATGACCAAACATGATTAACATTTTCCCCTTATCCATTTCATCGTATTGCCTCGCATTGTCCATTGCTTTCATCAAACATAATTATATATCCTCACTTTTCCCTTGATTAGTAGTCTTATCATACCCTATATGAATGATTGTCCACTGTCCTACTGACTAATGAAAGTTATCTCGTTTTTACATGCTATAATCATATCAAGGACAGTTTCTTCTGAAAAGCCCACATACATGAAAACTTAAAACCGAAGTTAATGCAACAACAAGAAATTCAAAGTCATTACCAAAACAACCAGTATATTGAACACTAAAAAATGAAGTAACAACAATGGATTTAGATTTTGCTTTTGATAAAGGTTCAGTAGTTAGAGAAACTAGTATGGAGGTTACAAAGTTGAGAATAGATACCAAATTCACAGAGCGAGGAATCCGCATCAGTGCGAGAGGAGCATTACCCGTGTCGTTCTTGTATGTAGAATTGTACCATATGCTGACGTTATAACTACTCCCGTTTGAGTTCAAGAAATCATAAGCTGTGCAAATAATTCATTAGTCAGGTAATTCACATACTATTATTTTTTAGCACAAAAGATACATAAGCTAGCATCCAATATACCAACCTGCTATTATCTCATTAATCTGCCTCTCTGAATTCCCCTTCCTATAACCCTTAAATAGCTCATCATTAATGTCAGTAGAACTATTGCGCCACAAATGCAAACCTTGAACACATCTTGCCTCTAGAATTATGAAAATAAACAATGGTTAAGCATAAGCTGGAAAATGGTAATATAAGAAGAGAGAGAGAAAGACTTGTGAACATGATACATGGAACTGTATGCCCAATACCAAATGAGCCCCTTTTCAAACTTTAAATTATAGGCACAGTTTCAATGAAAATCTTTAGTTAGAGACGTTCAGATGTTTAATTTCTCATGCAAAATAACCTCAAGAATTAGAAGGTAGGATGACATCACTCAGAGGATAGGATGACATCACTTAGCGAAATTTGACCACAGAACCTCAAAGGGAAAGGTAAGACCATAAAATGGAAGATACCCTAACTATATTTCCATGCCAACCAAATTCTTGTCTTATTTCCTATGGCACTGTTTTAACATTTCAAGTCTATGACTGTAGTCATGTCCATGCAAACTACGGATGTGAACTTAAATTATCGAAGAACACAAATAATATATATGAAAATTTGGAGAAGTTATAACCAAAAATATTACCCTGCTGTACTTCTGTGGAACCGAGTTGAAGGGGAAAAGTAAACCCTGAGTTTGCAGCACACTGGGGTTGAAGATCATAGACTGGCTCGTTCGAAAAGAAAGCCGGCTCAAGAAAATTGGTTAACTCAGTCTTTGATGCTGACCCCTGAAATATTTCATAAGTCACTTGGCATCAAAACCAAAAACCCAAAAAAAGAATAAGAAACAATAATGAAGATTAAATTTTTATCAATGATGAAAGCAAAGAATTAAATAAAAGGAGAATTAGTAAGAAAGAAGGACAACTGACCAAGCCATTATTGGCTAAACTGTACAAAATATCAGAGGAATTCAGAGTGGATGAACTTGAGAACATATTTCCAGCCACACCTATCAAGTTGTAGACCAAGCATAAACTAATGTAAAATTTGACATTAACATTTAATACCATGTTGCATAAAGCAAAGCAAAAGCATAAAGGGTCAAGGAGAAGAAATGGGGCACCTAGTCCAAGAGTTTGATTAATCCCAGTCAGAAGTACAGTTGCTGGACAGGACCCTGTATTCTTGCATGATCCATCAGGAAAGTCTGCATCTGATAAGAAATCAGTCCTCACTGCACGATATTGTGGAGCAGGTATTTGCAACAAGGGAGGCCATTCTGGTGGGCTAGGAATGGGGCAGGTGGTGCCTTGGTCCAAAGTTGAGTATTCAATCCCACAAACTCTCCTAGTACAACCACCATTCGCATTATTTTCAACACAAGTGCAGCCACACCTGTTTGATGGTTTATCCAATTCTCTGTTGACCAAAGTTTGGATGTTAACAAGTAACAAAATGAGTATGAATGGGAACAAGATGAGTCGAACATTTGTCCTCATATTCCGTCTCTGCAACAAAAAGGAGGAGGAAGGGGGGAAAAGAACAAAAGAAAAACAACTGTTAACAATATCATTAATTTCAAAAACACATATAACTCCTTACGTTCCAATAAAACAAAATAATAATAATTTTGACAATTAAGCCAGTTCCTTTCTAGCCCAGATTGTCGAAATACCAACCTACTCTGTCATGGGAATACAAAAATAAGTGTTAAAAAAAAAGGCATGGTAATATTTGTTAGAAAATTAAACTTAAACCCAAAAGCAAATACTTGGAGATGTTAGCATACAAAAAAATCAAGTAGTGATTGAGCCCCACAATTACCAGCATGTTGTTCATTGAACTCACAATCGATTGTTTATGTGTCTAGAATTAATTAACAACTAAATTTGCAGGATAGCAATAAGTTAACTAATTGTCTATCGTTTCCTTCAAAAAAAAACAAAAAAAATAAGTTAAGTAATTGCAAAACAATAAAGCCAAAGTTCAAGCCTCGACGGAAATAGTCAAATCAAGCCCCTACCAGCAACTATAACCGAAATCCCATCCTCTCTCTCTCTCTCGCGTAAGAGTATTAACATCATTCAATATCTTTTTTTTTATAAAGCAAATCGACTTTGATTGTTGAACCAAACAAGAGACGGATCTACTTTTTTTCGTTGTTTTTGCTCTGCGTGTTTTCTGATTGGATTATTGTTAGTAGATATGTTAATACTTTGCCTTCTAATATTGAGAATCCATTGAACAGACTCACAAAGCAAATCATTATTCAACCGTAAACCAAAAAACAAAAGATCGAACTGACATACACAGAGAGAGAGCGAGAGAGAGAGGCCCAACCTGAAAAGTCAAATTCTTTCTGAGCAAAGCGTTTGCCTGAGTCCAGAAGCTGGATGGCTCAAGCGATGTATCCGCCATTGTTAGAAACTCTCTCAGCTCTCTCTCTCTCTCTCTCTCTCTCTCTCTCTCTCTGTGGAAATGGGACCTTTGGAATGGTAATTCGCGCCAAATAGGAGCTTAAGTTCGTTTCAGCTGGTCTCTGCCTGAGGTTTAGGAGTGAGAAAACTCAAGACAGGATGAGAAAAAGATTCTTCATACCATTCGTCGTTATATACGGATCTAGTTACAAAGTTTAAGCCGCCCGAGGTGACGAAATTACCCTTTTTGCATGACTATAATACCCTTCACGCGCTTATCACGTGTGAAAGTTATTTTTGTTTCTTCTTGCAGCCTCTGAGCAGACGAAATTGCCGTTTCATTTCCACCACTTGTCGACGTCGGGTCTTTTTTGAATGACTCTAATACCCTTCACGCGTTGGGTATCTACGAAAGCTTTCCTTCCCTTTATTTTTTGGAATCAGGCTTTTGTGAAAGTTCAAAGCCCAAGTTGAGTTGAAAATGCCATTCAATAATTTTTTTTTTTGAACAGAACCATTCAATAATTCAAAATGGGATTTGACTAGGATGCCCAAAAAAAAAAAAAAAATAGTATCACCTATTAATTTTTCTGTATTTATATCTGTTTTTTAAGGTTCATTTACCACTTTTTAGATAGAATTTATCACGTTTTTTAATAGTTTATTTCGTTTTTGGGGTGTTTTATGGTATCAAAATTTTTTTTTCGATGCCACAATGTTTTCATTCAAAATTGTTCTGATTGTTTATAATAAGTTATTTTTTAAAGTCCTATTAACTGAATTTTATTTTTTTTAGTTCAACGATCAAGAGTGTTTAAATTAATTTATGCACACTCACTAAATGACTATTTTTTTTTGGTACATCGGAAAATCTAAATGACTATTATTAAGTTTGATTTTTCATTATTTTTTTTTCTTTTGGTCAGATCTTCATTGTTGAGTGTTGTTGAAGGAATAAGTTGAATATAATTGTTAATTATTGTAATTTTTATTGTTTTGATATTTTACTTTTTGACGAGACTCAATGGTTGATCATAGAATTCAACGTTTGTGATTGAAGGAATTATAAAAATTTATAGCACAAATAAAAAAAAAAATTAATAGTAAAGATATTATATTACTTTGATTTATGATGCAAAAATATTCACATTTTCCTTTGCAAATTATAGAAAAGGTTCTATCACATTTCTTTTTTTCTTTGTTGGATATTGTCCCAGGATTTCAAATGGTAACTCAAATAGTAACAGAAACGAATTGTAAATTTAAATGTTCTGAGTTAGAATCTTGATAATCTCTTAATTTTGGGCTATGAGGAATTTATTCTTCAAGACTACCTTAGTTCTAACGTAGATTATCTATTTTTTATTGGACCGAAAACAAAATTAGTCGAAATGTGCATAAACTATTTCAAACACTTTTTACTATTGAATAAAAAAAAAACAGAAAGATAATGTCCCACTACTTCGATTAAAATAATTGTAGTGCCCTCTAAGAATTCAAGTTGATCTTGCAATAATGCAATCCCATCATACAAGGAAGATTCGTTTTTTTAAAATAAGAAATTGATGAATCCCAAAAAAGATCTCTTAATAATTAAAGTTTCATAAATTAGGATTAATCTCGTCCATATATGAAAGTTTTTGGGATCTTGTTTGTCTCATATATACTATAATATATACAAATAATGATGATTTTCGAACCCTATGCTAGATTAGTTTCATCTGATTTTTTAATACTAAGAGATATTTTTATCACCTAGGCACTCGTAATTAATGGCCTTACAAAAACCAATATTATATTTTATAACTATATTTGTGGTTGTTTTTTTTTTAGAGTTCGTCGATTTAACATTTCTCGTATATTTAAAGATCAATCACCCTTATTTATCCGAGGATATATTTTAAACTCACTTGGGATACGAGTTACGGGTCAATATCCGAACTCGAGGGAATAATCGGCACAAATCTAAACACCCTATAATAAAACCCAAAAAAAAAAAAAAGTAGACAAACGTCTGTTGGGATGTTCTAAACTACACTTGTTGTCAATAAAGGGGTAAACATGATACTATTAAGAAACATACTGGGGAAGATTTTTAGGTGTGAACCATTATTTAATTATAGAGCAAAGTAAGGTCAGTCCATGAATTAATGTATTGTTTTTTCAAAGTTCAAAAGTTTGAATTTGCCAGAATGTTGACAACTAATAGAAGCAACACTACTTATAAGGTCTTCCTTCAAGCACATCGATCACAAAAATAACTTAGAGAAGTTAACTTAAATGTAGTTTCTTAGAAGTTGAGATAACTTGCAAATGCCCACAACCATGTCATTTGAAAAATATAAATAAAAAAAATCCCACCAAAAAAGAAAACCAAAAGAAATTTATCCAATATTATAATTATAAAATTGAATTCTCAAATTAAATAAAACTTAACAACAATTAAAATTGATTAATTTTTTTATATTTAGGTTACATAATTTAAGACATAAAATTTAAAATAAATTATTATTTAAAATATAAATATTAGACAATTAATATTTAATATTTAATATTTAATATTATAGAGTGTTTTTAGGCACAAGATTATTGTTGATAAACCTATATGCTACAATAGGTTTATTTAATCTATGTAATAAGATATAAGAGTTTTTATTATAAAGCACAGCAAAGGGTTCAGATTGTTTAAAGTCAATGACTTATCATACAATTTATTTTTTTAAGTGTAATAAGATATTTTAATAATACTTACATTAAAAATCTCTCAATTACACTTGTAATTTAACCACAATAAATCTATCCAATTATATTTTAGCAGACCATTTATATTTTGATTACAATAAAAAAAAAAATTGGTTAAAAAAAAAAGTACAATCTTGGTGTAGTGTGGCACCAAGGACCACTAATTTATTAACATTTTATATTGAGATTTTTATTCATCCGCGAGATAAGATTATTATTATTTTATTTTTTTCGCTGGTTAAATAGGTGGTCAAGAGCAATCAAACCTAGCAACCTTTAAAACCTTACATTGAGGTTTTCAATTATTATAAAATGTTCGATTTGAACTATAATTACTAACTTGGAATGATCGAACTCGTCACCGCAACATCACTGAAAGCAAATTAGAACATTCAGATTGTCTCATATTTCTTACATTGTAATGACAAAAAATATCGTATACTGAACAATTCATACACCAAAATATTAGGCCAAATAAGTTTTATCTGATTTTTTTTATTACTAAGACACCTTTTATCAAGTGGGCAATTGTAGTTTATGACCACATGAACTAATATTATATTTTAAAATAAAAATCAGTGGTTGTAGTAAGCAAGTAAACCCCGCACGTGGGATCTTCTAAACTACACTTCTGGTCCATAATTGTGCCAACATTGTAGAATTAAGAAAAAGATTTTTCCAGATCTTCAGCTGCAGATCATGTTTGATTTATAGAATAAAGTGTAGTGGGTCAATGCCAATTAATTTATTATTATTTTTTTAAAAGTTCAAAATTTTGAATTTACAAGGATGAGGACAAGTGATAGCAACGGTCCTCGGTTAGGGTATGATTCCATTTCCAAGCAGTTATGAATATGTCAAACACTACCATGTCAATTAGAAAACATAAAGAAATGTACTATGCTTTGTACAATTCAAGTCTATTTTGAAGGTTGGTGGATCAATCGGAATGACAAACGACATGCTGAAATCGGAGAAAATTGAGAATTGTCAATTATCTTTTGAATCAAAATAGTGACGAGACTAATATTACGACTGACTATCTGAAGTGCAAAGGGTAAATTCGGACTCGAATAGATAAATATATCTGTGTTATTTTCAAAGTAAGGGTTGTGTTGGTGTAAATGAAAAAACTAAAATCCAAAACATGGCCTTTTGACTTAGACTCTTCTGAAGTCCGCGCGCGTACCCATGTGAACCCGCGGCTTGCCCCGCCCCTTAAAAAGTAGTATTTTCCCATCTCATATTTAGTTCATGTATTAAAAAATAATTGATCTTACATTTATTTCATCCAATTATTTATTTGGATGGTATGATATAAATATTAAATTATTAAAAAAATCTCAAAATAATTAAATCTTAAATATTCTTGAGAGTAAAAACAAACATCTTTTGTCAAAATATATTCCAACTAGACTAAATAGGTTATCCAAACGCAATCAATCATACCAACCAGTCTACAACTAGCACAGTGGGTTATCCACCCCTAAAACCTACCACGTGTCAGGACATCATTGCACTACAGCCTGGTGGTGAGAGACGACGACATGGCACAAAGTTGGGAACCAGACTACGGTAACCAAATGAATATATCGGTATTATACCGAAATGTTATAACGTACGATTATAGTGAACAAAATTATAATATTAGTGAAAGATTTATAATAATAGTGGATAAAATAACTACAATAGTAAAAAAAATTACAACATAAGTGAAAAATTTATAATAATAGTGGGTACAATTACAATATCAATGGACAATTTACTACAGAAATTGGCACAATTATTACAATAGTGGGTAAACTTTTACCACCATTTGAAGTACCAAAACTTTTATCACTATTGAAAGTTAATTTGATGAAATGAATATTAATTGGATGAAACGAAATATTAATTTGATATAAATTTGGTGGATTGAATATTAATTAGGTGAACTTGAATTAGATGAATTTTGATATAAATTTAATGTTAATTAGATGAATTCAATGTTAAATTAGTGTTATTTTGAGTAATTAAATGTTCAATTTAATTTCATTAACATTTAATTCCTCTAATATACATTAATGAATGTAATGTTTTTCTTTCATACAATTGACATCCGATCTATCAAATTAACCTTAAATTAATATTTAAACATCACTTGATAAAATTATCACTTGGTATTAATTTGATGAAATTGAATTGAAGCTGAATTTTAAGTTAATTTGATGAAATTGAATTTTGAAATGATAAATTAATGATCAATTTGATGAAATTATATTTTAATAAATAAAGTTGACAGGGATCTATCCCAATTGTAACTTAACATTTGACAGTTGTAACTTCAGTATTAATCTCAATCTATCATAATCGATCACAACTTTTAAAAGTTGTAATTTATACTTCAAAAAAATTGTAACTTAACTTTAA